TGGACTGGCGATGTGCCTTTACCCCAACGCACTTGTACTCACGGTACAGTGAATAGTTAAATTGCTATTTTGCACTCTTGGGTGTAAGCGGTAATTTCAAGATACTTCATTTGTGCTTCTGCTAAGTTATGTGTACACCTCGGCCTTTTATTCATATTTTTAGCACCATGTGGCAGATTATATGTTCATGATGCGATAGGATTGCACTGGGAGTGCACAATTATTCGGATAGATTCGCCGCTTTATTAGTTTGCGCTTTCTAACTGCGGGCGTAAAATTATTGCTCGTGGGTTGGGGATTTTAGCACAGTGCTAAATCCTGGATTTGATCATTTTACGCGAGATTTTTTAAAAACTTTTTTCGGTTAGTGAATTACTATTGAGTCGCACATGCTAAGCGGCTTACGTCATTTGTAATAGAAAGCAAAATAAATCAAGTAAGAATTAAGGTTTTGGCGCCGTACAATTATTCTAATTTTGGGTGTGTTTTCCTAAGTGTACACCCCTGAGCCCTATACTATAATATATCATTGAAACAAACTAAAACTGCATATACACTGTTCTTATAGGTCAACAAAGAGCACACCCGTTTAGGCCGTTATGTCAGATCAAAGGTCGCATTTTCCCGAAAGTCGCTTTTTCAGCTTCAAAACCTCATGCATATCACACCATGCCTCATAGCGACACCAAACCTAAACATAAGTATTGCTTGTTAAATTTGCAGTACGATGGTACGGAGTTTTATATGTTTTAACATGTTTTTTCTGGACGGCTTCGTTAAAAGGGGTGCTTTATATTTGTATGGAGTTTTGAATTTAGATAGCCGGGAGTAAATAGCCTCTTCCTCGAAAAAAAAACAGGAGAATAGAGATCATTTGATGCAGTTCACAGCCCTTACCTTAAGACTTTAAATCCCTCTGGTTTCTGAGTTGGGCGCCCACGAAGTGGCTCAACTATTTGTTCAGGCTTTTAAAATTCAACTGGACATACATGATGCCAGAGAAATTTTCATTAACATACTGCACTGTCATCTGGCCCGATACCTTTGACAACAAAAAAAAGGTGTTAATCTACACCCAACGCTGCTCTTTTTAACTTCACGGCAGTCTTTGATACTCCCTTCCGGGATTTCACTGGCTGGGGCAGGCAACAAAGCGCAACAACAAATGCGACAACGGACGGATCCAACCAGTCGCTCAGCACATACCCACCTTTCGGCCTTCCTCGACCTGGAGATAAGCCCATATTTAGCGGCTTATGAACAGTCGGTGTTTGACTCACCGCGTATATTTCGGCCACATAACTTTATGGAAATAAACGTTTCGATGAAGGCATGTTGCCGAAACATCAGTCAATCTATGTCTCCATTCCCCTGGGGTTTCTCCGAGGAATAAGGCTATTACTACTGTCTTATCGGTACGGTGATAAGTTTGATTGCGGTTGAGATGAGGCTCGAAGCGCACACATGGTTTTCATAAGGGGGCGTGACCTCGAGAACGCCTGCATAATGGAAGTCATTCCCAGTGTTGCCTGTCACCGGCTCGAACTCTCCCAGGCATTCTGCTGCCCTGGTGCTTATCGTGGCCCTTCGCCGTCGTTGTTTTCGCAAGCAAAGCCAGCTGTAGATCGAATTTAAACTTGAGACCCCGGCAAGTCCCGAGGGTGGAAAAAGATTGCTGTTGTGATTAGGCTATCCCATAGTCTAGGGCAGGTGTGCCTGCTTTCT